GGGGGGGGGGGGGGGGGGGGGGGGGGGGGGGGGGGGGGGGGGGGGGGGGGGGGGGGGGGGGGGGGGGGGGGGGGGGGGGGGGGGGGGGGGGGCGGATGCCTCCTAAAGAGTAACGGAGGTGTGCGAAGGTAGGCTCAAGCTAAGATTCTGCTCGTGAGCGTAATGGTATAAGCCTGCGGTTTATATCGTGATTATGTAGAATTGTAATTTCTTAAAAGAAACGCTCGAGAAAGGAAAATGCTTTCGTACGTGCACGTTACCTAGAGGGAACACTTTTTTTTTTTTTTTTCGTGGTGGTATGATTGTCAGACCCTCTCCTCATTTCGCCCATAAGTAGACGGGCTTTTTGCCCTTTATCATACAGAATTCAACTCGACGAAAAATCGATGAAAAAGTGGACAAGTATTGCTTTATTCTTAGCTAACACGGGTCCTATACACATTACTCGTTACACTTGGAAATGGGTTTCGCCCGAACCATTAGACCTGTTTCTTAATAATCACGGGATATAAATTCAAAGTACTTTTGCAACTTTCCTCCTACATTATCCAACGGTAAAAAAAAAAAAATGCCAACCACATTATGGCAGCTTCTCAATTTGAACAATTTCTTTTAGCTAAAAAACGCAAACGTTTCATAATTTCTCAAGAAAACTAAAAATATGAACAAGCTCGAGTTCGAGAATTGCAACCCTAACGCTCGTCTCTAATACTATCCACAGTTACTATACTGAAGGAAGATTAAGCTACACGTTCAGGAAAAGAAATGAGATCGAGATAGTTAAATGGATAAGTATATGATATATAATATACATCAAAACCATATTATATAATTTAATTATATAGTTTAAAAATGAAATGAGTGCTCCATTCTTTAATTTATTGGTAGTGGATTGATGGTTGATTATTAGCATTATATTCCCATAATATCTACTTTGATGGTTGCAAAACCTTCTTCTTGATATGATTTCTTTTATAAATGATATCAAAATTTTATTCCATTAAGAAGATAAGGAAATCAACATGTTTCATATGTTCAAACACATTAACTTAATACTAAATTACCAAATTTAATGCGATTTAGGTAATGATGGAGGCCCGGGAATATTAATCCATATCTTAAATATACGGTCTATAGCTCTAGATTCCCACTTATTTTAAACTTTTCATTGCTTCTCGATGTAAAAAATAAATCTTTGGCATCATCATTTGCAGTGTACTGGAATTGCATTAATTAATCGAAGTAGATTCTCTTGGACGTACGTACATTTTTGCTCATGACCCACTATTTTGTTTGATTAAAGTTTCGGGTTTTTTTTACTCAAGAATTTGATGTTTTGCACCGGACCCAGTACACTAAAGCTACGTTATTATCTAGTGTACGAGACGATATTATGAAAAGGGATGATTTATATACAATATAGCGGAATTGCATTCACTGATCAAAGTAGATTCTCTTCAACGTATGTATGTTTTTGCCCACGACCCACTATTTTGTTCGATTAAAGTTTAGGGTTTCTTTTAGTCAAGAATCTGATGTTTTGCACCCGACCCAGTACACTAAAACTACATTATTATCTAGTGTACGAGACGATATTATGAAAAGGGATGATTTATATACAATATATCGAAATTGCATTCACTGAATGAAGTGGATTCTCTTCAACGTACGTATGTTTTTGCCCATGACCCACTATTTTGTTCGGTTATAGTTTCGCGTTTCTTTTAGTCAAGAACTTGATGTTTTGCACCGGACCCAGTACACTAAAGCTTCGTTACTATCTAGTGTACGAGACGATATTATGAAAAGGGATGATTCCGATACAATATAGCGGAATTACATTCACTAATCAAAGTAAATTCTCTTCAACGTACATATATTTTTACCCATGACCCATCATTTTGTTCGATTATAGTTTCGTGTTTCTTTAGTCAATTTTGCCCACGACCCATCATTTTGTTTGATCATAGTTTCGCGTTTCTTTAGTCAAGAATCCAATATTTTGCACCAAGTCCCGTACATGAAAATTACGCTATTACTTTCTATAACGTGAGAGGATATTACGAAAAGGGATGATTCGAGTTATGTTATCTCATCAAAATCTTTATCGAGACCTGAAATTCGAATCTGAGATACGTAAAAAAAGCGGTGGAAAAAGTCGTATAAACCGAAAAGGACTAAAAGGGGAAGTGGGAGAATAGGTTGGAGTAAAGATGTGTATAAATAAATTGGGAATACTAAGAGAATCAAACAAGAAATGTGGGGTGCACAAAAAGGACTTCCACTTATGGGATGCACAAAAAGTGATGGTTTGGATATCCAAATATCATTTGCATCCAAGTTTTTACCAATTCAGCATAAAAGGTGTCTACCTTTTCTTCATTAACGTCTATATTTTTCACCGAACGGAAAAAGAGACGAACGTTTCGATTACTCTATATATGTATATATACGTATCTTTATATTTGTACGTTCGTGGAACTATACTTGAACTCGAGTTAGGTTAAATTACTCGTAAATTTGTAAAAATCGTATCTAAGGAGGGCACGAGCTATATTGGACGATTTAAAGTGAGATACTTAAAAAGTTAACCAATTGGGTAGTCACGATTGGACGTAGGTTTGTCATTTACGGGATTTAGGTCTCGAAATGGAGTATGACGTAACTGAAATTGTCTAGAAGGTAATCATTCGTTGTAGCTGTATATTTCATCCGACATTATGTAAATCAGAACGAGGAAGATTTTTAATATCTGTATAAATATGGAACGCTCGGGATATTATTTGTCGAGGGAATCGTTATACCATAATATTCTATGCCAAAAATAATAATTACTCTAAGAATCTAATTCCGCTTTAAATCGTTTGGGAATAGCTTCTAGCTCATCTGGGTACAACATATTTCATTCCTTCCCATCCATTCCCTTTTTTTTTTCTTTTTTTTATTAGCTCGTAAAAAATAATATTTTATTACGAATCAAAGAAAATTAATTAAGATATTGATAACGGAGTAAAAATTTTAAATCTCGACTCCAAAATGTGTAATATTATACTATAAAAAAATTAACTTTCACGGATAAGTATATTGATAATTTAAATAATTAAACGTGAAATATCATACTTCGAATGATTAGAGTTAACCCTCGTAAAATTATAACCGTACGACATTTTGTGACAAGGAGAAAAGTTTGGAGCAACTAAGGAATGAGAGACGATGAGTTGAATAAAAACACGTAAAAGTATAATCTTACAACTTGTCGAGCCAAATAGGAAAGTTTCAAGTAACTAAAGAAGGAAAGGCGATGACTTGACTAAACCCTCGTGAAATTATAACTATATGACTTGTCGGGTCAAAAAGGAAGCCCTCGTAAAATCATAACCCTACAACTTGTCGAGTCAAAAAGGAAGCTCTCGTAAAATTATAACCCTACAACTTGTCAAGCCAAAAAGGAAACCCTCGTAAAATTATAACTCTACAACTTGTCGGATCAAAATGGAAGCCCTCGTAAAATTATAACCCTACGACATGTCGGGTCAAAAAGAAAGCTCTCGTAAAATTATAACCCTATGACTTGTCGGGTAAAAAAGGAAGCCCTCGTAAAATTATAACACTACGACTTGTCAGGTAAAAAAGGAAGCCCTCGTAAAATTTTAACTCTACAATTTGTTGGGTCAAAAAGAAAGCTCTGGTAAGATTATAACCCTACTACACGTCGGGTCAAAAAGGAAGCCCTTGTAAAATTATAACCCTACGACTTGTCGGGTAAAAAAGGAAGCCCTCGTAAAATTATAACCCTACGACTTGTTAGGTCAAAAAGGAAGCCCCGTAAAATTATAACTCTACAACTTGTTGGGTCAAAAAGAAAGCTCTGGTAAGATTATAACCCTACTAGACGTCGGGTCAAAAAGGAAGCCCTCGTAAAATTATAACCCTACGACTTATCGGGTCAAAGAAGAAAGCTTCAAGTAGGTAAAGAATGAAACTAAACCCAAAAGCCATAACCAAGAAACATGCATGAACAAAAAAAACCCTAAAAATTTAATCTTCATTTTTAAGACACTTTTGAGATAGAGACAGAGAGAATAATAGCTAAAGGGTTCCTTTCTTTATACAAAAGCATAAGATTCCATTACGCATATCACCAACCACGTGGCCTTCCAAACTGACCCTAAAAACAAAACCCTAACCACTAACAACAAAACCAAACACAAAAGAAACTTCTATGCTTCCCCAAACCCCAAAAAAAAAAACACCAAAAAAAACCCTTTTTGTGAGCTCCCCACCGCCGCCGAACTGGTTGTCTCCGCCGGGGACAGCTCCAAAAGAGCAAAAAAAAAAAAAACAACCCTTTTAACAACATCTGCCACTTGCCGCCGCCGTCTTCTTCCTCTTCTTCATTCCTCTGCCAAACCAACCCTCCTCCCAATGGCTCTACAAACCAGAGGAGATTCCATTTCCAGAGAGAGTTTAAGGCACTCTGACAAATCTACGCCACCATTAGTGGCGGCTTCTTCAGAACACGCCACCCATTTGTAAGCTCGAAGCAGCTGAGCCAACCAGAGCTGCACGGTGGCTAAACCCATGGCCTTTCCCGGACAAACCCTTCGCCCTGCCCCAAATGGAGCCAACCTCAAATCACTCCCCATTACACTAATTTCCTCTTCCATGAACCGATTTGGCTCGAATTTCTCTGGCTCTAACCAAACCCTCTCGTTGTGGGTTATCGCCCACATGTTCACCATCGCCGTCGTCCCCGCCGGTATCACACGACCGCCGACATGAACGTCGGCGGTCGCTAGTCGAGCCCATGACAGAAGTGGCCCTGGTGGGTGCATTCTAAGACATTCTTTAACAATGGCTTGAAGATATGGAAGATTTTGGATGTCGGAATCTGTAATGGGTCGAGAGCTTTTGCCTATTAATGAATCGATTTCGTCTTGGGCTTTCATTTGGATTTCTGGGTGTTTTACCATTCGAGCTAAAATCCACTCCAGAAGTATCGCCACTGTGTCGGTCCCTCTAAAGATCATTTCCTGCGACAAAAAAAAAAAAAAGAGTAAGCTGCTCTGTTCTGTTCTGTTCTTGACAAAATCACCATTTGAGTGATTAAAGGCAGTGATTATGAACATAACGAGTAAGAACAAGAAAAGGGACATACCCAAAGAACAGCAATCATGTCGGAATCTGATAGCTTGTCATCATTCTCCAAATCAAGCAGAACATCGACAAAATCTCTGTTTTGTTCTTGTTCTTTCCTCTTTGTTCTATGTTCTTCAATGATTTTTCCGACAAATATATTGACCTTAGAAGCCAAAACTCTACACCTTTTCCTCACGCCTTGTAAATCCAAGAACCCCAAGAAGGGAAAATGGTCACTCCAATTGAATATCCCAAGAAGATCATACCCTTCCCTTACTAATTCCTCAAGCTCTGCCCCATTTCCTTCACCATTAAACTCATAACACTTACCAAAAACAGTCATCATTACGTTATTCAAAGACCCAAAATGAAGAATCTCTTTAACTCTCACTTCCCCTTTTAAAGCCATGGATTTCTCTATTTCCCTCATCATTTTAGCTCCAATTTCCCTCCTAAACCCTTCAAAACCAGCAATTCTCTTTGGATTAAACATGTAAGTAGCTGAAATTCTCCTCAAATTCCTCCAATACTCACCATAAGGAGCAAAACCCATTGCTCTGTGGAAGAGCAGCTCATAAGCGGACTCCTTTACAGGTCTATCAGCAAAGGATGGGCTGTTTAGAATCTCCTTTGCAATATCAGGATTGCTAGAAATGACGAACCTTGTAAGGCCAACGGAGAAGGCCATTAAAGGGTATGCTTTGAATCGATTGGCAAGGGCGGAGAGAGCTCTGTGAGGGGTTGAATGGGTGAAGACATGGAGTAATCCGATGAATGGGAGGCCGGAAGGGCCGGGAATGGCGGCGGAGGCGGTGGTTTTGGACTTGGAAATGGCCCAGGCGAGGCCGCCGGGGTGGAGGAGGAAGGCGAAAATGGAGACGAGAAGAAAGCTGAGAAGAAGAGCTTCGAAGCTTTGGGTAATGGAAATGGGGAAGTGGAGAAGGAGGGCGTTGAGAGCTTGTGATGACATCGTGGTTTGGCGCCAAAACAGGGGACGGTGTGGAAGGGGAAGAGACGGGAGGGAAAGTGTATGGGAGACAGAGATTAAATAGGAAGCGGGAGAGTGTTTTTTTTAACCATGGTTAGAAAAATAATTAACCGTGGTTAAAACTATTGGGTGTTTTAGGATTTAGGTTTTTTCTTTTTTATTTATTTATCCCGACTCATTCCCGATCCCCGTTTATATTTAATAAGTTCTTAAACTTGTATACATTATATCGAGTTTAATAAATTTTAAATTTTTAATAATTTATTTTGGAATTAAATTGTTAAGATTAGTCGCTTTGAGACCAAGACACAAAAACATAATTTTATATCAAATTCAATAAATTTTAAATTTTAATAATTTCTTTGGTAAAGATTAGTAGCTCGAGACCAAGACACAAAAACATAGTCAAAACAAGACAAGAGACAAGTAACGCGCGCACACGACCACAAAACAAAGAAAAAAAACACAAAAATAAAAAATAAAATGAATAAATTCCAAGATAAAGAAAGATCGAGAGTCGACATCCACAAATAAATTTTACATTACACGTACGAATATATTTAATATTTAAAAATATTTTTTCGTCAGTAATATATTAGAAACAAATTCAAAAGTTTATGTATCTATGAATCAAAGTTTTCGAAGGTTTTAAGACTAAGACTGCGAACAGTGAATTTAAATGAGAAAAATTTATATTTTGAGTGTTCGGGTTTAAAATTATTTTATTTTATTTTATTTCTCTCTTATATTCAACGATACAAAATAACGACCACAACCACAATAGTACAACCTCCTCGAATAATTTATCGGGCACATCAAGACGGGAATCATAGATGAGGTGGAATGGTTCGGGTTAAAATCGAATTCGGATTCGGATTCGGATTCGGGGTGGCCCACCCACTAGTCATGTCCACCTTGATTTTAAAAAAGTGTTTTCTGGTTGTGGGTCAGAGGGCAATTCCGGGAATACAACTATCTCCATCTGCACACGTCAGCCAATTCAGGTGTTTTTTTTTTTTTTTTTAATTTATTTTTCTACAAATTAATACTTTAATAAATAAAAATGTGAAATTTTTTTTTTAAAACATTTGGGTCTTTATTAGGTTAAATTATAATTTTAATTTTATTAGTAAAATTATATCTAATAAGCTATAAAAAATTAAAAATTATATAATGAAAATTTGAGTTTGTATAATAAATTTATATTCTATTATTTACTAATAAATGTATATTTTTAGTTTAAATAATGAAATTAAGGTTAGTTTAATTAATTTTAAAAAGTGGGCGTTTCTATTCTTGTTAATGTAAATTTTTTTTATTATAGTAAAAAAAAATGAGATAAAAACAAGAATAAAAGGACTATGGCACTTTTTAATTGCGCCATGACTAAAATTAATAAAAGATGAAAATTTATCGACAATAAATAAACGCTTTGAAGGTACGAGAATCAAAACGAACCAAATTCGAAAGTATAAAAACAAAAATAGTATCAAAATCTTGTATTTTAGTCCTCAAAAGATTATAACTTAGTGTACTCTTGACCTCTCGACGAGAGAGATAACAATAATTTAGAGATGTCGATGGTCATGTTTTAAATTATCACAAAACTTGAAAAGTTTGAAGTTATAGATTCTTATATATTTAACTAAGATTTTTCAACACGAAACCCGTTTCTCTCTTTTCGTTTTCAACTACAAATAGACCAAAAAACGGTAAGTGATCTTAGCAAATACTTAATATCTCAAACAGTCAGCTCCTAGATATTTAATATCTAGACAAACACCAGATGCAGATATTTATTATTACTTAAATTTCATATATTTAGATCTCAAATATTTAGTATCTATATTCACGAGCCAATAAGACACAAAACTAAACATTTTAAAATCATATGAAGTATCGAATTAGACATAAAATTAAAAGTTTAATAATTAATTAAAATATTTTTAAAATAAAAAAAAAAAAACTAAAATTGAAATTGAGTTATATATATATTATAAATTATTGGGAGAGGGGTTTGAGTGTTGGCGCTTCCAAACAGTGTGGGGGGGAAGATGGCAGGGGTCACGAGTGTACTAATTTTAATCAGAGATTGATTCACCAGATCTTTATTTCCTTTTTTTTTTTGAACGACAAGATAATATTTATATTATATTATATATTTTTTCTTGTTTTTTCTTTTTTTCTTTTTTTCAGAATATAATATAATGTGGGTTTTATGCTTACATTTTTTGGATTTAATGGAATCTCATTTTATACCCTACAGATATTGAATGAATAGTTTGTCTCTTTATATCTTTATTTATTATTATTATTATTATTATTTGCATTTTAGTCCCTGATTGCAATTTTTCTTTCTTTTTTGGCGAACTAACATTTGCTTAAAACCCCCCATAGTTTGGGTATTTTTTATTTCAGCTTTTCTCTTTTCCTAATGGGAAAGAGGGATTGGCATGCAAGAGAAATATCTTTTTTATAAAGGGAGATGTTGAATTTGTTGTTCTTTTGTAAGAAAATTCTTTAAATTTTATAGCGTAAGTATTCATAAAGTGTGTCTCGATTCTAGAATATTTATTTCGAGATAACATTTGGGATTTTGTAAGATTGTTCGTCAATAAAAACAAATATATTTTTCTCCATAAAATGCACCTTATTCTAGTTTTCTTTACTATTTTTAGATACGTTTCTAAGCTTAAAATCAAAATATAAAATAAAAAAATAAAAAAAGTAATTAAAAGCTATCATTAAATTGATTTTTAACATAAATTTTAACGATATTAAATTAAAAATTATAGTAAAGATTTGACACTTATTTTAAAATTTCATATAACAAGAAATAAAAATGGTTATGAAACCAAACAAAAGAAAAGAAGAAGAAATAAAAATCAATTAACAAACACAATTCCATTTTTCTTTTTAAAAATTTAAAAATTTAAAAATAAACCAAAAATAAAATAGTCATCGAGTGAGCTAACAGTGTAAGCCTTGCTCTGTTCTTTTTACCATCTTACAGATTTGTACTAAACAGCCCTAAAGGTCATTTCACAAATTTGTCAGTTATTTATCATTCATTGAAACCTACATGCATTATTTTGCTATGAAATGAAAAAATGTACCCTACAAAAAACAATACAAATGAACACACAAAGACTTCAAAACAGTAGAGCTTTTCCAAGATCTTTCAAAAGTTTTTGTCTTTAAAGTTATTTAACTTCAAGCCGGACTTAGACTTTCTCTCAAGATTTTAAAACATGTCGGGAGAGTTTTCACACCCCTTGCAAGAAATATTTTGTCACCTCTCTAACTAATGTGAGATCTCAGAGTTCACCTATAAAAGGTTTGGACGTTACAAATTGAGACCTTGAATATGACTGTTACAAATAATCACATCATTCTAAATCACTATTTCTATCTCATATTCTAACGAGCCCAAATACAGTTTTAAAGTGTTTCATAAAATGGACGAAAACAGCCTTATCTCAAAAGAGGCAAAATTTAAAGAGAGAAGGAAAAGAGGTAAGAAACATTTAGGGGAAAGGAAAAATATATATAAATTTACCCAAAACCTGGTCAAGTATACCAATTTGCTATCTTTGAAGCTTAATTTTATCATCAAACTAAACTAAACACAAAGCTTCGCCAAAATTTAATTTTGGCTCAATTCACTCACCTATTTCAACAAAATAACACATGGAAGAAAGGGTAAAATCTTCCTAAACTTGTATAAAATTTATCGAAATTAATGCACAAAACCAAAACATTAAATAACTCCGACAACTCATGAACAATCAGTTTCAATGATGAAATATATGGTAAAAAGCTACAACGAAACGAATCGAAACCCTAAATTTTGCAATTTAACTATTCTCACAAAAACAATAGTATATATCTATTATTATATAGAATATTAAACTACCAACAAATTCCGCTAACAGTTAACAAGATCAATAAATTACCAACAAGGTCAGCCAACACTTAACGAAATCAAAGATCAATCAATGTTCCAGGGAAAATTAGATATACCAAGTCTAGAGGAAGAAAAATATGCTGAAACATTCATAAAAAAAGAAACCCACTGTTTGTTTAAGGTAATAAACTACCAACAAATCTCAAACTGAAGAACTTGTAAATATAACCCTAACAATATAGTATAAGAATAAGATTTATGAAAATAAAACACAAAGGTGTGGGATGGTGGAGTGTGATAATGGTGAGGGCTGTGTTCCCACTTCCCATATCATTAGAGGCCAGACAGCTGAAACCCTAGAAGGAGAGGGGGAGGAATTGGTATGGACAGGTCAGGTTCAGAATTCAGAGTGAAAAAGTAAATTTTTTCTGTGGATTTTGTACGGTACAGTGAAAAATAAATACAGTGGGCAGTGTGGCAACATTTACATTACTGGCACACACAATGCCCATAACGGCGCCGCCCCAACTTGCCTGTCTCACTCTCAGAATCCGAACACCCCCCTCTTTCTATTCAGTCTTCCCCACCGCTCACTTTATTCAATTTTTACCCAGCTTTTTTACTCCCATAATCTACCCTTTTCTCTCTTCCCATACTGTATCATCCCATTTAGACATGGATCTCAGAGATCCATCCTATATTGTAGGTGTCAATTTAATCAAATAAATGCTTTATCATCAAACACTGCCACTAAATCTGACTTTCTCCCCCCCAAATTGATTTTATCATAAAATCTTTTCAACTTTTGTTCCTTCCAGTTAATATACTTCCAAAATATATATTTGGTACTTCAAAAAATAAAATGAAAGGACCTATGCAGGGACCAAAACAAACATTTAGAAAATAAAATGACAAATGAACCAAATGTGACAATATAAGATCAAAATGAATGATTTAAAAGAACATAAACTAAAATAATATTTAAAATTAATTATAATACGTTGAAAAGTAACTTATAGAAGGGGATGTACTACAGTGAGGTGGGCCATTTTTTTAGGGAAGGTTGTTCAAAGCGGGAGGGAGAGGGAGAGAGAAGAAACCTTGCCATTAAGGAAGGTTGTTAAGGAGACAGAGATAAAGAAACCTTTCTAAATATCTACTCCCTCCGTTCATATTTCTAGACTTTATTGTAATCGTGAAAATCTCCTAAGACAGATATACTAATCACCTATTTGTTAGGGGTTGTCTATTCCAATTTGGATATTTTAATTAAATCTGCCGAGAGACTTTTATTTTATTTTATTTCATTAAAAATAGCCACTAACTTAGGACTAAAATAAACTTTAAAATTAAATTTTTTAAAGAATACAGCTCAAATTTTAAAAGTTAACCTAAATGAAACAAATTTGACTCTACATTCCTTTTTAAAGGAAAGAGAGATTCTATTATATGAAATTTTTAATTACCAAGGGTAGAAGAACACAAACTTCTACTCATGCAAGCTTGAAGTTAAATTTTTAAATTTAAACTTTGTGGGTGCGATAATTAGGGTCACTATAGTTCATTAATGAATTACCATTTTATCCCATCTTCTTCCTATAGTTCAATAGAATGTTTATCAAATTATAACTAGTGAAATCATAGGTTGTGCCATACTTTTCAATCTCAACTTTTCAACCAGATATTTTTAAGAAATAACAAAATTAGTTTACGTTGAAAGAAACCAATTTGGGTTGTAATATAGAGTAAATACTCATTACTGCAAATATTCTCTACATTTTGCGCTAACAATCAAGATACAGAACTCGATCCTATGGTCAATAATGCACAAGCCTACCGAATAAAATTGCTCAATGAAATATGTATGACAAAGCAGATTGTCTAAAATTAATAACGGCTGTTGGTTACATACCTTATCAGGAGATTATTCTGATGACAACCATGAACGAAGCCAGCATCAAGATGGATAGAGATGGCTCCTATGACCATACTTCCCTATGGATTATCAATCAGACCTATGGTTAGTCAAGATTTAAGACCTAAAACAGTTCAGTCACGCAAATAATTGAATTGCAAATGCCTAGTAGAAGAAAGGTAATCATGCAATGGGCGATTTGAAATATCTTTCTAAGTACTTTAAAAACTGTTTTTAAGTGTACAAAAAAAACAGTTTTTAAACACTTACAAAGTCATTCCAAACCGCCACTTGCAAGTAAATAAGAAAATAAGAGGTGAGTTCTGGTTGATTTTACACCTTCATCGTACTTGTCAAGCAAAACGTTAACTTTGGGGAGGAGGTAAAGGAATTATTCCCCACTTCGCCCGCATTTCGTCCAAATCCTCGTGGAAGTGCCGCTCATAATATATGCACATGAGATCTGTGCACTGCATGCCAGCACGGATAGCCCAAGGGAAGTAGTGCTGGAAGAATAATTTTCTCTGTCTGTCATTGAATCTAGCTGTGCCTCCCAAAACAGACAGCATGCACATTGGAAGGTGCATTTGCTCAAATTCAATAACCTTCAATGCTGACTCGCCAATCAAGTTTGTGGGAAGACCAAACAAGGTGTGCCAGAAGTCATGAACCTCACGAGCTCGCATGGCAACATACTTGAGTTCATCAGTATCCATGAATCGAACAGGAGGTCGGTCATCTGGAGAAAAGTTCCTGGAACCCATAAAATTAGCATATGCAGCACCAAATGTGTTGGATGGAAGGTCCCATGCATGACCAACTTCTGATGATAATACACGAGGTCGCTCCAACAACACTGCCTGAACAAGAAATTTCTGTCATTTCATATTTTGAGTTCAACAATATAGGGTGAAGGATCTGATTCCTTTGTCGATGATATATGCCTTAACCAATTAAACTATGCTTAAGTTTTATATTCAAATGAATGATCTAAAAATGAATTTCACGAGAGTCAAGTTATCCAACAAGTGAGAAATATATTTAGCAAGCAGAAACTGGGAACATCTTGAAGTTTATTTGGGACAAATGACATTAACAGAAAGAAAAGAACCGAGTTAAAATGACAAAGACACCTCAAAGTAAATTTAAAATTTATGATGGCTTCCATGATAGCCAACTGGAAAAAAATGAAATGGTTAAACTGGGGCAGATCAGGGAATAAACGAAACTAAAACATTCATTTCAAAGGTTAAATCGAGGGGTTCCAACTTAGTTGCATTGCCCAATTGTAACCAAAACTGAAAAAGTAAATACACTTTGATTTTGTTTTTGTCGTAGTATATTTTAAAAGTTCAAATGCTCCAAATCCTATGTTCTGGCGCATTTCCGACACTAGCACTTTGGTTCCGCTAGTGTTTCATGTTTGTATTTCCAAGGGAGGAAAGGACGCCCTGATGGGGAGGGGGAGGATGGAATACATGAACACAACTCAGCCAATCACAAGACCCCATAGGAATACACAAGCAAATCAACCCAATACATGTCCCAATTCGTTCTCAAATATGAATTTGATAAAGCAAATAACCTATGTTGTTTCTGGAGAATTCAAATAAAAGTAGTTCCAAAATTTATACACGATAACCATTCTATTCCAAGATAAAGAGGTAGCTTTTTTTTATTTGGTATTCTTCATCATCATTAAGTTCATCATTCAATCCTTGTGAATACCCTTGCAAATGATGAAAAGATGTGAAACATGGAAACATGGAAACATGAAACATAAGATTACTTGATTAAAAACTTACTCTGCCTTCAGCACTTTTTTTCATCCTTTCAAGGACCCTTTCAAAAGCAGGCTTTCCAGTTGTTTCCCCAAGAGCTGCTATTAGATCTGCTCGTCGTGGATCTAGCAAGGCACCTACTGCTGAACCAAGTGCAACTGCTGCTTGCTGCCATCTATTGAGCTGGATATGTGCACCACCTACCATTTCCGATAGTACTTTCTTCTGTTGGGTGGTGCATATGTGCGGGGGGAGGTGCACAATAAAATTCAATCAAATGTAGAATACCGACTTTAAGAAACTAAGCAATTTGCAATGATAAAGACAGAAAAAATTTCCCCATCATTAAAGACCATAAAATGTAATTTACTCGGATAAATCCAACTCACAAACAATGCCTTCAAGAATTGGCTAATTTCCTCCGTCCAAAGTTCTTCAACAATGAAAATACAACACCCAGTACCAAATATTAGGTAATAGAGGCTAGCGAGATAGAAGAGACCACATCTTTAGTCAAGAAAGAATGAATAAATGATGAAAAGAGAAGCAATAGCCTTTAAAATAATTTGGCTCTTTAGAGAGCATTTCTCTTGATACTTCTTATTCAAAAATCTCAAAACTACATGACATGTAAAAGATATTTATCGCAGAAGTGGCAGAAAAAAGTGTGTAATATGTAGAGAGGAGTGGGATCTTAGAGAGAACTAGGGAATGTTGCCATCAATAAACTCGGACATTATATGCAAATGGTCATAGAACATAAGCATTCAGACGTATTCTGTAGGAAAGTTAACCAGATCACAACCTTGCTTCTCTACGTATAATGGAATACTCTCGGGAGAACACTAAAAGATAACTTAGACAAACTACAGGCTGTCTGATTTCAATAGACTCCATCAAATACAATAAAACACCATCTTAAAACAGATGAAAGAAAATCATCTGCAGAAATACATTGCAACTACCTCATCAGCGACATCATAGCATCTCGTAGTTTATCTTTGCAACAAAACAACAAACTAATAACATAAGTGTAGAACATTTTCCTATAGAGAGAACTCAACCATGTTCGCAATTGATCTGTTATAGGTAAATTGTATAGGATTTCTCAGATTGTAAGAGTAAATTATTCATTATTAGGTACGCGAATACCAACTGCAGAAATACTTTGCTCCTACCTCAAAACACCAGATATTTCCCCCTAAATCAGAAAGGAAATCGAAGTTCAATTAAGAAAGCTAATGATATCAGAATCCGGCATAAATCCACCGCGGAGAATTGCCAAACAAAGGCCGCAAAACATTCAACCAAACCTAAATCAACTAGAAAAACCGAGTTAAATCGAAGGATAGGACAAGTAATCAGGTGATTAACTCGGTTGAGCACGCAACACCAAATCTTACTAACACGTTCAATTTTCATGCTATTGCAAGCACATACGAGAAATTTCAGAACGAGACGCTAATTCAACAGTAATAATTGAGAATACTATCAACCGATAAAACATCGTTATTGAGCTAAAACACTAGAGGATGAACTGCGACCAAAATTTACATTTCACAATACGAAACGAATTGAACTGAAACAAAACGTGATTGATTACCTTTATTGAAAGCAATTCTTCAGATGAGATTCAATTAAAGCGCAAAGAAACGGAAAGCGGACGTTCCTGACCAAGATTGATAGCGTTAAAGAAGGAAGCAAAAATGATTCTACGAGAATCGGAGAGTGCGATTCCTAGAACGAACGAACGAACGAACGAAAGCCAGCGACGAAGAAGCGGGAAGGCATTAATAGACCGTACAACGTACCATTTTCACTTAAATATATAGCTAAATTACCTTCGTGCCCCTGACTGTACGCGCGCAACATCTGAAATCGGGATTGGCCCATGGGCTTTTAAGATGGGCCCATAACGCAACTCATGGGCTTTTTATCCTCTTAACAAACAAAAATAGTAATTTTCTTCTTAATTTTTTTAACGTATTCATTTCAAATACAAATTTAAAAAATAATTTATATTTTAAATATTATTTTATAGATAAAATATAATATAATATAATGTTCGAAAAATAAAAAATATAATTAATATTTGCCTAAAATAAATATATATATATTTATATATAACCAGTGAGGTGGGTTAGGATGGAATTTGAGCAAATTAGAGAATATAAAATATAGTCACAGCCTCAGCAAAAGACGAACAATAAACATAGTTTTGTTTAGTTCAACTGATTTCAGACAATATCGGTTTCTTATCTACTAAACCATACTTAAACTGACGAACTTAACCGTAGTTAAAGTAAGACATTTGAATCCCGAACCCCACTATATAAGAAAATTAATTACCCAAAAGTAAAAACAATGAGTGGAGAAGACATGATCATTATTTACACACCTTTTAACCTCTTTATTTTCTTTGGAAATAAAAGATAAAAATTAAAAATTACTAATAAATAAACTTTTTTTTAATAAAGGTTTGAATTAATTGGCCGCAAATCAAGGCCCAATAACACGTACAATTGCCTCCCTCGATTCCCCTTCTTTATTTCCGAGTCCGAATAGAAACAAAAAAAGAGAATGATTTTTTAATTTAATTTAATATGTCGGCATTTAAATAAATAAATAAATTTATTATTATTATTATTATTATTATATAAGCATACCCTTCTTTCCTTTTGGTCCCTCCACTTCCTTTAAATTACACAAGTTCATGATTATAACGACTTTTTCCTCTCCACATCCCCATGGTAATTCAAAACCATAGCCTTTTACAACCATATTCAACTCCTTTTTCTTTATTTCATTAAAATATATTTTTTCATTTATATACTTCAAATTTAATTAAATTACAAATTTAGTCCTTCAAATTTAATTAAATTACAAATTTAGTCTCTAAAATTTAACGTGGTATTAGTAATTTATAAATTTTTTAATTTTTTAATTTTTTTTAATTTAATATATTTCTGATTTATTATTTGAGATTTTATAAACCTTACTCTAAAAGCATGAAAATATTAAAATTTAGGAACTTGTTAAAAATATAGTTGAAACTTTAGCGACTTTATTGAATATTTTTTAAATTTTAAATATTAGATAGGTTCGAATAATTATAGTTACTAATTAAATATTGAATTAAAATGATTCGTTTAAAAACATGTTTTACGGTATAAAATTTATTTATAATACATTATATCATATTTCTTTTAATTTTTTTCTAAAATGGGTGAGTTCATAATATGAAATAATATATTTATCAAATTTTTTTAATCAATTATAACGAATTTTACGTTTTAAAATTAAAAAATGGGAGTTAAAATCTAAAGAAATGGTAATTTTTTTATTCATTTTGACCCTTCATTTTTTAAAAATGACAGATTTAGTCTATTACTTTTCATTTTTAAGGGATAAAATATTTATCTTTCAAAAGTAAAAAGATTAAAATAAAAATATATGGAAGTAAAAAATTATATTATATAGTTTTAATATAAAAAATATAAATTATGGAAGGAAAATAATTGTTTCTGCCAGCTTTGTTAGTCCAATAATTGGATTTTTGTAGCTTTTGGTGTAATTATTTTCATGTGTATTCAATAATTAAATTGGATATTATGAATGAATGTCCCACTTAATGACCTTCATTATCCCTAATTTTCTATTGGACGATTAAATTTATTTTATTTAATAAATATAAGTAAATAAATACATTTAAATCGAAGATATATTTCTATGTTTGGGTTAATCAAAACTTTGGAGTAAAATCAATCACTTAGTTATATTATATGATTTTATAATAATTATTATTTTTATAGTATGAATTCAAATTATATTATATAGTTTTAATATGTAGCCTTCCTTTTTGGGTAGATAGGCATCATATGGCTAAGATGAAAAGTAGTTAAGCTTTTTAAATTATATTAATGTGGTGATTAAGAGGAGCCTCTAATCTTCATTAATGAATTTAATTATTATAATTTAAATTTAAAATTATTTTTAATACTCGATATATTCTCGAGACCTTTAATAATTTATGTTTTTTTTTAATATTTTTCGAGGTGCTGAACAAAAACATGTTTTTCTTTTGAAAGCTTCAACGGTTATACGGTTATATGTTTTGAAAGGTGACATGTTTGAGGTAACAATTCTAAACCGACTCTAATTTAGAAGTCGGGTCATTGCAGTAATTATTTGTGTTTTAAGGTTAAAAACAAAGTTAAAAAAGTGAAATTATATAATTTTGTACGGGATTACTTTTGTAATTATTTGTGTTTAAGGTTAAAAAAAGTAAATAAAATATAAAATAAATGAAATTATATAATTTTGTACGGAATTACATTTTTCTATGCATATGCTTTTGTGTTGGATTTCATAATTCCAATAATAACTTTTTGGACCATAAAAATTGGATAATTAAATATATTTTTAATCCATGAAAAAAGGTTATCTCATTTCATTTTATTTTTTAATTTAATTTTTTTAATATATTTTAAAAAAAAAAATCATAGTATTTTTATTTAATTATTTAGAGTAAACAAAACATAATATGTTATTTAAAATATAATATTACACAAATTAAGCTTTAATCTAAGATTATAATAATCATACTAAATATTAAGAATGGATGGTAAAATTAAAAAAAAAAAAAAAAAACTTCAAATTCTCGGTTTATTACACGAATTTCAAGTTAAATTTGTATAGTAAAAAATGAGCATATCCGTAACAGCTCAAGTCATCGCTAGTAGATATTATTCGTTTTAGCTCGTTACTTATTATCGTCACTCTAATGATTTTAAAACATGTCTGTTATGAAGAAGTTTTCACACTTTTCTAAGAAATGTTTCGTTCCCCTCTCCAACCAATGTGGAATCTCACAATCCACCCTCTTAAAGGACTAACATCCTCACTCGTACCGATGACTGGCTCTGATATTATTTGTACCAGCTCAAGCTCACCGTTAGTAGATATTGTCTGCTTTAGCCCTACGTATCGTCCTTATATAAGGAACTTTTTACTCCTCTCTCCTACAGATGTGGAATCTCATGATACTCGAGCGGTAATTGATAAGTATTCTTTTTCTCGAGATTGGTGGCTCGGGTGGCCCACATTTTTATTAATTTGATTTGAGATGTCCCACAAATTTAAAGTTAAAAATAAAAATGTATGGTGTGACTCGTGAGTAGAGGGACAAAAGGTCCAAAAGACTAAGATTTGTGGTGCTAGTAGAGAGACAATAGCATAAGATTATAGCCCACACTTTAATCTTTTAATTTATACATTTGATTTTCAAATATATTTTACTTATGTTGTAGACTAGATTCTTTCCCCACATTGTCTTTTTCAAAAGCGTTTTCCATAGAGCTGGTACGACTCCCGAACTCTCTATAGGTGAAAAATCAATCCTTTTGCACGAGACTGTTACGAGACAGGTACTTAGCCACTCACGAGCAACTAAAATGAGTATCAATTTTAACTCTCAACTTCAACTTGGGTATCAACGCTGACAGTACCATCATCGAGCATATTGATGGAGACACATTGTAACAACCCAAACCCCCGCTAGTAGATATTGTCCTTTTTGGAGATTTTCACACCCTTATAAGAAATGATTTGTTCCCCTCTCTAACCAATGTGAGATCTCACAATCCACCCCCTTAGGGGCCCAACGTCTTCGCTAGCACGCGGCCCGGGGTCTACCTCTGATAGCATTTGTCCTCTTTAGGCTTTCCTTTCTAGGTTTCCCTCAAGGTTTTAAAACGCGTCTGCTGGGAGAGGTTTCCACACTCTTATAAGTAATACTTTGTTCCTCTCTCCAACCAATGTGGAATCTCACAATCCACCCCTTGGGGGCCCAACATCCTCACTGGCACACCGCCCGGCGTCTGTCTCTGGTACCATTTGTCCTCTTTAGGTTTTCCCTTCTGGGTTTCCCTCAAGGTTTTGAAACGTGTCTGTTAGGAGAGGTTTCCACACCGTTATAAGTAATACTTCATTTCTCTCTCCAACCGATGTGGGATCTCTCACACACATCAACTTAAGTATCTTTCTTTTGAACGAGACCTATCGTTTTCAGGGCAGTGTACCTGGAACAAGATTCCGATCTCTAATTGGTCTACGAGATACTTTCTAAGTATAAACAACGACGAAAATCAAACGATGGATCGAAAAGTTGAAATTTTTTTAATTACAAAACATCATTAAAGACCAAGTTTGTTCTTCTTACATCTCAACAAACACCATTAGAGATTGAATTTCTTCTCTTGATGCTATCAATATCAGTAGATTCATAAACAGGCAACCCATTTGAGTAATAATCCAAATCATAGATCTGTAATTCAAACAAATCTGAGCTGGAATCTGTTTCTCCACCATCATCATCATCAATATCATCAATAATATTAATGTCATGCTCAAATTTCTTCAATTTTTTCTTCATTTCTTCATCTCCCAATGGTTTTTCAACCCAAACCCTATCTTTTTCTGAAGAACAATTACTCAAATTCTTCTTCTTTTGTTTCGAAGCCCGTTTCTCCAACGTCTCCGCTGATTTTACGTGTCGGGTGAACTTTGAAAAAGACAATAGTTCCTTGTAGCTCTTTGTCGGGGTTTGAACGTGCGGAGGCGGTGTTCTGAAACCTATTTGTTAAGAATATGAATAAATGATTAGAATATATATATATATATATATATATATTTAGGTTAAGTTGATTCGGGGTTTACCTGAATTATTGCCCGGAGACGAAGAATAGATGAACTTAGCATCCGTTGCAGCCGCGTTCGAGGA